ATTCCACCTGCAGGAGCATGACTTCTGTGGCTCTGTCTCTTGCCAGGTGCTGTGATGTTGGAGGAGGCCACCTTTCCCCTAGACCCTGGGGTACCTGAGCAGCCTTTTTGGCCTGGCTGACTAAACACGGGTGGGATGCCGCAGAGTATGCAAATGGCTCCTCGTGACATCGTAGGGTCTACTTTGGACTCTTAGCTAGGGTGTCTCTTATAAAGGGCAGAAGTCAGGAAACAATACACTTGGCTAAACTTGAAATCCTCGTCTTCATATGGGCTACCAGACAAGCGAGTGGCTCTGTTCTGACCTTTATTATAATGTCATTGGACCGTCACTTAACATTTGTTCTCTTCAGGTTAAAAAATTTGGAGAATTTCCCACCTCCCAGGTACTCAACATAGAAATCAAAACCATGCATGTCTCTGCATGTATCAGGCTCACAACACAAGGCCATCCCAGGACACTCCTAATTTATTTTGGAGTTGTAGGTATTACTAACAATAGCCAAGGGAACACATGTTGCTCTCAGAACACAAAAAGTATAGCTGACAGAAGAAGATTCGCTCGATACAATGCTCACGTCCCAGAAAACTAGATTAGAGAATGTGGCTTCCTCAGACAACTCCTTTTAAAAACTCTAACCTTTCACCAGGCGGTGGCACATGCCTTTAATCCCAGCACTTGGGAGGCAGAGGTGGGTGGATCTCAGTGAGTTCAAAGGCAGCCTGGCCTACAAAGTGAGTTCCAGGACAGCTAGGACTGTTACATAGAGAAATTCAGTCTTGAAAAAACAAAACAAAACAAACTCTAAGCTTTCAAATACCGCCCTCCATCCAATTTCTGTTTTCTACTAGGACTTAACCTTCTCTTTATAAGTTTTCCATCTTGCTGTTATTATACCATGATAACATAAGGACCAGAGGGGCCAACTTTCCTAGAACTGAAGAAGTATAAATACCCACCAGTCAAGTATCTGCTCATGTGACCCATTTGAACCTCAATTTTCACCGAAACAACAACCAAAACCCTTAGTGCGCCTGCAGGCTGTTTTGGTTGACAGTTGATCTGGTTATTTCTCATCTGGATGCTTCCATTGATTTACAATCCGGAAACTCAGGTCCTCCACAAACACCAAGCTTTGCCAAAGCATTTAACAGAGGCACAATGAAGAGAAGGAAACAACAACCTACAGAATAGGAGAAAATCTTTGCCAGCTATCCATCTCACAAGGGATTAAAACCCAGGATATGTAAATATAAAGAACTCAGAAATACAAACACTGAAAGTAAATAATCTAATCAGAGAGTGTACAAACAAACCGAATAGACCCTTTACAAATACTGAGATTGCCATCAATTCTAGTAAGGGTTCGCCTGGAAAGGTCATCTCAGAGGACACTGCTGTCTCAGCTCAGCACTGAATATGATGATGTAGTCTCAGCCCACACGACTCCAAGGCTTCCCAGTGTGGTAGGAAAGCTATCGATATCTAAGAACCAAGCATAGGCCAAACCTGCCAGATTTTGAGGACAGGAGTCAAATCAAACTCGTGCTGGCGTTCCCTGGAGTGCCTAATATTCCACCTGGCCTAGAATAATTACTGCATGGCAAGATCAGCAACTGTCACCCCCAGGCTCAATCTTCCCAGGCTCCTGAGAAATTCTTCTCTACCTTTGGATAGGAGAGACGTCCAGGCTTCCTTCCAACGTAGTAATTAACCTCAGTGCTGCCATCTGATATAACTACCCCCTTATTGTCCACCACTTCCTTGAGAGCAAAGACTGTAGTAGCACTGACTCCATTCTGGGTGGCCTTTAGACAAATGAAGGAGGGAGACAATGACTGAGTGGTGGAATGAACGAGGTCTCCCAAACACCTGGACCGTTCTCCTTCCCCCTTCCTCTCTGAGGTACACCCTACATGGGAGTGTCTTTTTTTTTCAGTTTGTAGGAACTTTATTTTCCTTCCACCTTTATTCCCTTTGCTCAGGTGTCTGCAGAGGAATTCAGGACCACTCAGTGGTGTCTCCAACTCACTCAGTGGCCTGCGCTGTGGGAGCTGCTGACCAATCCTCAGTGGCTGGCTGGGCACTCCAGTCTTCAGTAGGGAACTGCTGGATGGGTACCGAGGGCCCCTGCACACCCTCAGACCAGTCAGCCACCTCTGGCTGAGCAGCAGTGAACTCAGGAGCTGGTGCAGTCCATTCGCCCTGAAATTCCTCCTTGGTTATGCCTTCTCAGCAGCAGCCTGTTCTTCCTTCTCAATCTCCTTGGGTCTCTGTAGAAGTAAAGATCAGGCATAACCTCCCATTGGTTATGGGAGGTTGTGCTCACGGGAGATAGTGCCCACGCATGCGGAGTACTTCCCGGGCCAGCATCCACCACATCAGACCCACTGAGTGGGCTCCCTTGTTGTTGCAGGGGATGGCGATGTCCACGGAGCACAGAGTGTCTTCATGCTGTGAGTCCTTGTGCCCTTACTGACGTTTTCAGGGCTGTTTCTGGGGTTCTCACCCTAACATCTTCAGTGTTTATGTGAAGAGCGTGGTCCCATGCCAACTTGCATAGTGACAGTCTCACCACAGAGAAGGACCACTTATCTTCTCCTTTCCTGCCTTTCCAGAATAATAACCAGAAATTTCGGTAACACATGGATGAGGGGGTAAATTCAGACATGAGGATCTCTAGAACCATCTTCCACTCTATGAACATTTAGTACCTGTTGTGTCTGTGTGTTCTATGACACGAGATCATGTGTGTGCACAGATGTATGTAATTATGTGCAGAGATACGCTGTAAAAGAATATTAAAACATTAGATTTCTTTAAGAAATATTTACTGTTAAAAATAATTTACTGAAAAATCTGAGATGGTTAAAAAAAAAGCTTGATTTGAGGGGAAAATTTACTATAAAATAGCAAAACAACTCACTACCACTACCGCCACTGTCACCTCTACCATCATCAGCACTACCTTCACCACCGCCTCTACCACCAGCACCACCTCTACCAGCACCATCTCCACAGCTTCTGTCACTACCACCACCTCCATTACCACCACCTCTACCACCACCACCTCCACCACCTCCACCACCATCCACCATCACTTCCTCCATCACCACCTCCACAACCACACCCACCTCCAGCACCACCTCCAGTCACGAAAGCTTTTCTAGAAGAAAGAGTAGTGTTTGTATTAACTGTTAAAAGAGAAACAGCGAAGTTGTCTTATGGGAAATCATTGATAGTCTTAAGCATGATAACTTACTAGAATCCCCAGTAATCTCTTTTTGATTAATCAAAAATAGAATGAAGTCATCCTTCCGATTCATTCAGAATCTGGAACAAGTGAACATCCCTAACAAAAGGAGTTAATACTAAATGTGTTTGAAGAATTCATTCTCCAGAAGACTGGGGCGGTGTGGCGTGCATTCCTGCTCACAGCTGTAGCATCGACACTGCCTCTTGCTGCTCTGAAAAGAGAATTTAGCAGCAGGTGTCTTTTGATTTCCTAAACAGGGACTCAGAATATTCCATTAAAATTTGGAATGCACAGTTTCCTCATAGTTTCAACAAGAATACCTGCTCACGGAATTTTACTGTTTGTGTAGCCAGCCCCATTACCTCTGACACTGAATAGAGTTTTATATTGTCATCTGACTCAACAGATTGATACTGCTTAATGCACCAAATCAGCACTGTAGTGATATTTCATTTGTATTTTAATAGATAAAGCTTGCCTGAAGATCAGAGGGTAGAACAGCCCCATTGGTCAGCCTTACAGACCAGGCAGCGGTGACACACACCTTTAATCCCAGTAGCCACACTAGTGTGCCATAGAGACCCGGTGGTTGTAGTGCATGTCCTTAATCCCAATCCTAGAAAGGAGACAGCTCTCAGACAGTCTCATTCTAAGGATTCCTGGAGTCAGTATCACCAGTTCAAACTGAGGTAGAGGTTAAGAACCAGTGGCTGGCTGTTTCACTTTTCTGACCTTCAGGTTGAACCCCAATATCTGTCTCTGGGTTTTTACTAATTGTGCTACATAGCATTTTCCTCTTCTGTTTATGAGGTCGCTTCTGAAGAAGAGGGTTGATTTTTGGTGAGCCTGGCTTGATAGGCTTGCTCTTAGCTAAAGCTCACCTCAGAGCCCAAACATACCCACTCACACACTTTCTGGTGGCCACAGCAGCGGGGCAATCACTGGAGACCGTGGAGCTATCCCAGCCGGGATGAAAGAGGCATTCAGACAACAACCCTCACTGGTGGGCATCTACCAGTTCATCAGTAACATCCATTGTGTCCATTGTGGCTCAGCTTTGCCAAAAGTCGAACTGCATTTATTATCTAAACTCTTTGATAAAGAGTTTGACCAAGAATGATTAGAATTAGAATTCCAATCTCATTAGAAACACCACTGTGAGCAACATGGGCAAGTGCCGTGAGATTCTGTTGTTATACATGCACTGTGAGCGATGCACGGGCAAGTGGGGGCTGGAGAAGAAGACCGGAGAGTGCAGAGTGTCACACAGTTAATTCAGGGCGTGCTGCGGCCAAGATTCCCTATGAGTTGTATCTAGAATGAAACCCTACCTGTGACAGGCTGGCCTGTGGAAGCTCCCTGATGACCCAAAGGCAAATATTTTCAAATGAAATTCCATTGTGCAGAGTTATCTCTTCGCCAGCCCCTGGGGCCCACAGATTCATCTGCCCACACAGTAAATCCACCTGGCTCCAAGCGAACAGGAACTCAGTCACTCGTTCTCCAGACGTTCCCTGAGCCAGCCAGGTGGGAGGAGGTCAGGTTACGGATGTTGGGAGTCCTGGCTTTCAATTTGAGATCTACTCTTGCCAGCTCTGGGAACCCAGACCCGTTTACTATTGTCAAGTGCCAATTTCTCCATCTATAAAACAGGAAGAGCTGCTAGAGATGGGGAACATGGCAGGGCTCTAGAGGAAACAAGCTCAGGGTTTGGCAGCTATAATTAAATGGCATGGTCCTTTTACTCTGTGCATAGATGCCATTGCTGGAATCCTCACCTCATCTTTGCAAGGGCGATCTACACTTTGATCACGGCCACCAGGAGGGAGAGGAAGGACTTCCAAGGCAGAGGGCTCATGGTAAATGCAAACCCCTGCTCCCTGGATTCCACCCAGCACTTCCCTCCAGGAACTGGCTCGCTCTGAGGGGCGTGGCTGGGAGGAGCAGAAATAAAGCTCCACAAGTATGTGAGTTGTAAAAACTCAGGCGGCCTGGGCTCCTGTATAAATAGTCGAGTCTGCTCCCCGGCTGTGAGAACTGGAAACCTGCGCCCCCTGGCACACCTGGGCCTGCATGCTCACAGAAAGGTAAGTCTGGGTCTCTTAAATAGTTCTTTAAAAAAAAAACATATATATGTATATATGCGCATATATATTATTATTTATTATTATATATATAAAATAAAATATATAGAGTTGCTGTTGTTATTGTGTGTATGATTGCAGGGGTGGGGACTTACATACTGGGAGCGGAGGATAGCTTGTACTTGTAGAAACTGGTTCTCTCCGTTCACCTTTGTATGGACTCCGGGCATTGAACTCAGGCTTGTTTGAACTCAGGTTGTCAGTTTTGCACAGCAAGTGCCTCCATCTGCGGAGACGTCCTGTCAGCCCCCTTCTTAAAAGTTGCTTTACCCACCCGACGTCTCAGCTGCTGGACCTCCCTGGATCTGGATAGCACCGTGGAGCCAGGAGAGCTGCATCCCAAAGCCCCAAGACCCAGGTGTCTCCCTGGCTTATCTAGCCTCCTGCCTAACCCCTCATTGCTCCGGTCCAAACTCTCTGAGGGCTTTTTCCTTTTCCAGTCCTATAGGTTGGCAGAGACCTTGGCAGAAGTGAGTTCATAGCCGTTTCCTGAATTTTTCCTCCTTTTCAGAAAAAATCTCTCTCTCTCTCTCTCTCTCTCTCTCTCTCTCTCTCTCTCTCTCTTTTTCTCTCAAAGCAAAGATAGTGTGGTCATCACATTTGGTTCCATACCAAGCTTTGTACAGTTTCTTGTTTTATTGCTTCTTATTAATATCTTCTGAAGTGCAGAATAAAGGTGAAAAGCAAGAAGTGAGACGTAAGTACTGATAGAGAGACAAACTCTGGTTTCCCCTCCACCCAACTCTGCTCATGAAGGGACCCTGGGCAACTTGCTTATCAGTCTGAGCCTTAATTGTCCCAGTAGTTACCTGGGGTGTTACGTTAACAGCTCTGGGCAAGACTCCTGTGGATGTATAAGAGGGGAGAGAATCAAATGCCGGGCACACCTAATAGATTGTGAGTAAATGTGGGCTTCTCTTCTGCCTTTACCTACAGTTTCCTTACCGTGTTAATTAATACACCATAATTTTGTTTCTAAAAAAAAGCATTAAGTAACTATTTCTTGTATGGCCGGCACTGTGCCGCTGAACTCGGCATGAGCCTCATCTTCAGCCTTGCAGTCTCTACAATCTGAAGTTCATCCCTCTGCACCTCTTTCCCTTGGCCCCATCAAGTTCAATGGCCTCCATGACCTTGCCTTTCTGGGCTCTTCCTCATGAATTTCCCCTCTAGTACCACAGCTACACCCAGCCCGGTGTGCCAACCCTGGGCATGTTCAACTCTGAGTCAACATCTTCTCAGGACATTTCTATGGCTCCTACTACATCCTTTCACAACCAGTGATCGTTGGAGCCAAGGCAGATTATGGGGAAGAAATCCAGCTCTCTCTGGAGATAGAAAAGGGGTCAGTGATTATTTCATTCAACAAGTTCTAGAGGGGAAGAGTGGCTTTTTCAAGATTAAACAGGACTGAGAAGGGAAAAAGTCCCTAGTTGATGCAATTTAAATTCCTCCGATTGTACTTATTTTTAATTTTTTTTTATTGTTTTTATTGAGCTAAACACTTTTCTCTGTTTCTCTCCCTTCCTCTCCCCTTCCCTTCTGCCCTCTCCAGAGGCAGAGATTGTATCTCGTAAACTCTTTAAGGTACCCGTGCTTTCTCACCCACCTTGATAATGTTCAGTGTTTTGTTATATTGTCGGTGTTCAGTGCATGTTGCATGGGTAGAGGAAGGACTGAGAAAGTGAGAGAGTGAGGGAGTAGCTGAATGAATGGAGGAGAGTCGTGGGTGAGTTGGAACTTTGCTGGAAGTGGACATGAGAGCTGTCAGGTTGCTTGGCAGACCTCTCAGAGCGGGCAAGCCTGTGTTGAGGGAGGCAGCCCGCAGTCCTGCCCCATTGGCTGCTGCCACTCACGCTCCCACCTTTGTCAAACAGGTGTCCACCCAGCGGAAGCCATGAGAATCCACAGCCTCCTCCTGCTCTCCTTCCTTCTCCTGGCTGCGCAGGTGCTCTCAGAAAGGGTCAGAAAGGGAGCCAAGAATGCACCACACAACACAACAGAGGACGGTGCATCTGCCCCCTCGGGCAAGGCCCAGAATAAGCAGAGAAGCAGGACATCCAAATCCATGACCCACGGCAAGTTCCTCACCAAAGACCAAGCCACCTGCAAGTGGGCTGTGGCTGAGGAGGAGCTGGGCATCAGCCTGAAGGTCCAGTGCACTCAAGAAGATCGAGAGTTTTCTTGTGTTTTTGCGGGTGACCCATCTGGCTGCCTTGAACATGACAAAGACCAGATCTACTGGAAGCAAATTGCCCGCATGCTGCGCAAACAGAAGAATATCTGTGGGAACGCCAAGAGTGTCCTGAAGACCAGAGTGTGCAGAAAGAAGTTTCCAGAGTCTAACCTCAAACTGGTAAACCCCAGTGCACCCGGACACATGAAGCCCAGGAAGGAGAAAGCAGAGGTCTCCCCAAGGGAACACAATAAGGATCAAGAAGTTTCCTCCATGGGGCCAAACAAGGTCCAAGAGGACCTCGTGCCCAGTTCAGCTGTGACCCCGACGGTGGCTATCAAAGATCCGGAGTGCCTAGAGGACCCAGATGTGCTCAACCAGAAGAAGGTCGCCCTGGAATTCTGTGGAGAGTCTTGGCGCTCCCTCTGCACCTTCTTCCTCAACATGTTACAGGCCACGTCTTGCTAGTGAAGTTAGAGGGAGCAGCCTCAGACGCGAGGAATAACATCACCGGTGTCCGCTGCAAAGTTCCCCGAGTTCCCCACAAGTGACAAACTTTCGTGTACCGGACTGCAGTGAAGTATTTAAACAGTTTTTGTAAACTTTGTTTTTGTGTTTTAGGATTTGCCTTTTTTTTTTCTTTCACATCATTGGATGTACTTTTCAGACTCTTTACCTCAGTGTGTTCGTCTATGGACCGCCAATCTAAGTGCATATAAGGAGTGGAAAAATCCTAGTGAGGATTTCCACGCAAGGAATTGTTGACTGTGTTTATCAGGATAATAAAGTTCTGGGCATTGTCAGAAACACCACCGACCACCGTTTCCTTTCTATGCTTCTTGTTCCGAAAGAACTTGTGGCTCATTGTCAACACGTTTCCAGATGCTAGTAGATAGAAGATTGACTTTAGGGTCTGTTGGTCCAAAGTTCTCCCCCCAGACAATCCATCCCATATTTTCTTTGTACCCAATGCCCTGTATTGTTTGGTCTCTGTTGAAATATAACCACCAAGATCTGTTTTCAAGTGGGATCCCCTGTGCATGGTGTCATGTACTGACTTGTCAAGATATTGCAGATGGTGAAAGAGGAGGTAGTTTTTGGAGCCAGGAATACTTTAAATTAATTGTGTTATTATCATTATCGTTATTGTGTGTGTAAGTGTACACACATGTCATGGTGTGCATGTGAACGCCAGAGGACACCTTTGTATGGTTGCTTTCATCTTTGCACAGGTCCCAGGGGTAGAACATGGGCCATGAGCCCTGTGAACCCAGCTTTTTTACTCCCTGGGCCATCTCACCAGCCTCAGGACTCAGGACTTACAGCCACCGAGAGTGTAAGCTTGAGGACTCACGTCAGAACTGCCCCTCGTCCATTCACCATATGTAGAGCTGTCCTTACAGAGCTCACTGGGGACAAAGGTCTGACAGTCAGCCGTGCTCTATGGTAACAGCTGTAACAGAAGGAGGGATGTGCTGCTTGGGAAACTGGAGACGCAGTGGTGGGAGATGTGGGCTGAGCTTCCCAGGGCACCCATGATAGAGCTCCACTCTGGAGAGCATATTTAATAATGAGATGGAGGGGCTGGAGTCATGGATTCGCATTTCAGACCACTGGCAGCTCATCTAGAGGGCCTAAGTTTGATCTCCAGCACCCAGATGGCAATTCACAACCATCTGTAACTCTAGTCCCAGGGGATCCAACACCCTTTTCTGATACATAGACATATATGGAGGTAAAACACTCATACATACAAAATAATAAAATCATATTAATGCTTTAAAAAAAGAATGAAATGAAGTCCAGTAAGACACATTCGACGTGACAGTACATGTGTACAGCAAAGCTATGCGGAAGTCCCAGAAGCTGGGAGGGATCAGGCGGCTGGATGACACATGTCGTCAAGGCTGCTCTTAGCTGCGTACATTTAGTAGGAGAAAGGTGAAGTTATTTTTGAGTCCAGAGTTGAGGAGAGAGGACTTCCCAATGCCTTGTTACATCTCACCCAGCGGGGAAAGGAAAGAGACAAAGTTGGTTTAAAAAAAAAAAAAAAGCCCCGCCCTTAGCATTTCTGATGCTGGCAGAGAGGAGTCTGTTGTCCTGCTGCCAACTGTCTTCAGCTATCGTCACCCTCCCAGGACGTGTGTCAAAGGATGCAGGAGGCGGCACAGTGACATTAGGAGGACATCAGGACCTTCATAAGGCTTACAAGAGTTATTTGACCTTCTAATGCTTTTGATAACATGACAAGTACCTGTACAAACTCATGCCAGACAAAATCTTAGCCTAGAGAGAGTTGGGAAGGGAGTCCCAGCCATAGCTGAGGAGATATGATCATTTGATAGCAGCATGGAGGGAGAGCTTTTGCCAAGGGTGTGGCCCTTGGTAGGTTAACTACATTCCACTGAAAGGTCACGTGTCCAGCAGTATAAGGGCAACGCAAATTGAGCTTGATTGGATTAAAAAAAAAAAAAAAGAGGGCACAGAGTTAGGTGGGTGAGGTGGTTCTGGAAGAACCTTGGAGAGGGGAGTAAATATAATCAAAATATATTGTCCAGAATTCTCAAAGAATTAGTCAAGAAGCAAATCTAAAAAGAAAAGTCAGTCACTTGTTACAGGTCCGGTTCTATGCCAAGACTCTCGCAGAATTGTATCCTTTCACCCACTGGCTTGTCCATTCTTAGGTGGTTTACGGAGCTCGGACTCCTCCTAGGTGTGTTCCGGGTGCCGGGCACTCAGAACATAGTACGGATGACTGTTCTGCTGCCAGAGCTTTCTCACTGAAGGGGAGAGCGGTGGCCAACAGAATCCTTCAAGCGTGGGAGAGGGAAAGGGAAGTGGGGAGGGTCCTGGTGGGTGAGGAACATGGTAATAACCTTTCTGCGGCTGATGAGGGACTTCTCTCTGGAGGGGAAATTTGAACGTAGATCCAAACACAGCGATGGAACCAGGTGATGTCCAGTGTTAAGGATGTTCCAGAAGGAACTGTCAGAGCAAACGGTCTGGCGTCACAGGTGATTTCTTTGTTCTCTGCTAAGTTTACACTATTTTCCAGCCCTTCCCTCAGACTCAGGAAATAACAGCAGGGACAACAGAAAATGTATCATTTTTTTACAATGTATTTTATGACTTAGATCATGCTCCAGACACTAATGGAGTGTCCAAGACTGGAGTGCCATCACAAGATGGGGCCCTGAGCCTGGCTTGAGAACCTAGAGGTCTCGAACCCTGGGAAGAAGGGCTGAGGTGCCTATTTTACATATCAACCTGGACCTGGCCACCAGATTCTCCCTCAACTCCTACCTGCTCCAGGGCCCTCCTGGTGTGCATACTCCACCCCATACCTGAACTCTCTAGCTTAGGGACCCGGAATGCTCTTCCCTATATAATCCAATCATTTTGGTTACCTGTCCCTTTCTGTACCTTTGCCCACTTGGCTGCTGCTCCTGGCTCTCCTCTCTCCCTTCTGTCCTCCCTGTCCTTGCATGACTCAGGGTCGTGCCCACTCTGGACTCTCCCAGATGTCTGTCTTTAGCTACGCTCTCCAGTTTATCTACAGCAAACTTTCTCCTCCACCATTCTTAGGAAGAGTCCTGCCCTGCCCTTTGATTCGTTCACTAACCACCAACTTCAGGAACTGAACTAGACTCTCCCTGCTTTAGCTTTGATGTTCTTTTAAAGACTGGCCCTGAAGCCAGGGCCCTGTTAGGAGCTGGGGCTTAGTGAGAGTGAGTTAGGTCATCAAGGATGTGTCCTTTAAGGAGACACTGGAAAGCCAGCCTCTTCTTTCTCTTTACTTTCTGGCAGGCATCTGATCCCATCGTGATGTGTTGTGTCACCACAACCTAAAGGACAGGGCCAATGGGTCATAGACCAGAACTTATTAAAGCAGGAGCCAAAACAAACCTTTTCTGTCACTATATGGTAGGTTGCTTGCTTAGTATGCAGGTGGGGTTCAAGCCCCAGGACCAAAATAAGATAAATCAACAAATAAATTACCTATTACTCCCTCCCTCCCTCCCTCTCTAGAGTGGGTGCCAACAGAAGTAGCCATTTAGTAGGATCTGTAGTGTAAAACCAGACTGTAGAGGGAGGAGACATTTCTGTAATGAGTGTTCTTTGATGGTGGGAATTGGCTTTCTTCTCTTTAATCTTAGCTGGTCTTTAGTTTTGTTGTTGTTGTTGCTGTTGTTGTTGTTTGCTTGTTTGCTGTTAACTATTCTTTGAAATGTAGCCTCAATATGTTGCCCAGGCTGTCCATAACTCAGTTTGTGGCTCAGGCTGGCTTCAAACTCCTAATCCTACTGCTTCAACTTCCCCAGAATTGGGAATTTGGGCATGCACCAAGATGTTTGCCTTGGTGTTGTATTTTTATGGAATCGTAAATGGCCAGGTGCCACCATTAAAGATCACCTGACATTGCCCTCATTCTTTTATTTAATCCCTTAACAATCTTGCCTGACAAGACTCCTCAGCCTCATCTCCTGAATGAAGGGACTGAGACTCAGCAAAGCTGAGAAACTTCTGAGTCCCAGGAAACGGTAAAAGGCAGGACTTGTGAGGAGAGCACCGACTGGAAGGATTCAGGAGTCCTTCTAACTGAGGAACTTGAGAAGTTCCTTCAAGAAATTGAAGACTGACAGGTTATTCAGACATGAGCCAAGCCTGGATGTGATCAGAATCAACCAGTCCCCTTCCCACGTGAACCCCCTTCCAACTTTGACAAAGAGAAAAAATTCTGAAGCTAACACTTGCATTTGTGTTCAGTTTTTCATTCTAATTGCATCCTGAGGGAAGGTGCTAATATTTTAAGAAAAGATAATCTATGTTTCATGGTGGATTCTACCTAAATTGTCACTATATAGTTTCTCTGAGAACTTTCTGGAAATAAAATAAATGACTTCTCTCTGTGTCTCTCTCTCTGTCTTTCTCTCTCTCTCTCTTAGACACACACGGGGGGGGGGGAGTGGAGAAATAGCAGGAGGGTTAAGATGATTTCCCTTGATTGCAGCAGTTGGGAAGCTTTTAGGTATGCAGGGGGAGCTGACTGGAGGCATGCTACATCCCTAACGCCAGTGGGAGCAATAGAATCTATCTGACCCATAATTCAGCAGAAGGGCCTCTTCCCTCCAGCATCCCAGGTCTGTGTGGTAACTCACAGCAACACTAGTACAGACTTGAATGGCTGGAATCAGGTAAAGCTCCTTTGGCCACCTTCCCATCCACCGTCTTTCACAACTCCCCCCACTAAATTGCTTTTGGCAGAATAAATAAGAGATATAAAGTGTCCAGAGATTTCCCACACAAGGGAAATTACATCTTAAATTCAGCCTCCCTCTAGTGTCTTGGCTTTCATAATGTCTCTAGGCACACCTTGAATGTCTTCCTCAACAAATTTGTCATACAACAAGAAAATAGTTATTGGAGTCCTTTCAAGTGAGGACTCAGGAAGGGAGGGAGATTTCCTAAAATGGCTGATTTGGGACTTGGAGGGTTGACCATGGGCTGTCCAGGGCATGTTTTCATAATGCTCTTGGAATCATATAAGATACGTGTATGATAGTTTGTGATGTATGTGATGATGCAGACTTCAAGCCCGTCTGGCCCACCAGCACAGTGCTGGCACTCAGTGCAAGGCTTGCCACAAGATGTGTCTTCCACAAACATTTCTTGAGTGAACGAGAGAAGAAATCCCAGCAGGGACAAAGATAGACTTCAGAGTGAAAGGAAATTGGGTGGATTGGCGTTTCTGGTTGTGCCAGATGGGACAAGTGACTTCATCTCATCTTCCCAGCCACAAACTGAGAGTGGGAGCAATGCATCTGATAAGAGTGATAAGTGGTTAATATCAAAAGCACTAATCACATACACCGGGGATATCATAAAGGACTTGCCATGCGTAAGAAGACAGTTGAGCAAAAAGGCAATAAGGCTGTTTTCCAGGAAAGCAAAACTCAGGCTTCTCTTGCCTGTGAATGGAGTCTGGCTGTCCCAAGTCACCTTCCGATGAGTGTTCTCTACCTCCTGGTCCTCAGCAGCCCCTCCACACCTGCCAGAGGCAGAATCACTGCCATGATGTAGAAGTAAGGTGGTGACAAATCT